ATTTATCTCTTTAAATTCTACAAACGTTTTCTTCCAATATTTTCTGATACAGTGGATATTTTACGAAGTTTAAGGATACCTTATTTTCTATCTGCTGAGGTCCTAAATGTTGTACGATTAAGACCTGCAACAGCAGACTTTGATTTATAATAAATGAACATTAAAACATTTATGTGGGTAAGAGATTAAAATTAAATTATTTGGTTATTCCGTCAAATCACAATGTATTTAAAATAAGATAATTAAAATATCATTCTTTGTTCCATATCGAATAATCGATTTACAATTGGAACAGTTACAACATGTTTCGGTTTTATTAAACCATCATCAGGTGTAAAATTATATTAAATTTAAAACTCAATTACAATTTTTTACAATTCATATGAAAATATCTGGACACGACCTCCAAAACTACACTACGAAAAAATTGTAAAAAATTGTAATTGAGTTTTAAATTTAATATAATTTTACACCTGATGATGGTTTAATAAAACCGAAACATGTTGTAACTGTTCCAATTGTAAATCGATTATTCGATATGGAACAAAGAATGATATTTTAATTATTTTAATTATCTTATTTTAAATACATTGTGATTTGATGGAATAACCAAATAATTTAATTTTAATTTAATAAATCACAATATGACGCAACTACACTATTTTGTGGGTAAGAGAATAAAGAACGCGCTTGTCCTGCGTAAGGGACAAATTTCTCATCCTCGTTCACGTTACTACAGAAGTGTGACTCGGATTTGAAGTTTTGCTACCGCTGTTCATCCGGTCCCACCGCCTGGAACAAGGTACGCTACAGGTAAACGCGGACAAAAGGAAAATGTGTCAGGGCTCACAGACTGGAAATGTGTAAAACGTATCGAACACGAAAGGTTAATTAAACAAACTCTTTCAACAAATCTCTTGAACATTTGAAAGTCCTCTGTATTTGCGCCGAATTAAGCAGATTATGTAATAAGAACACCAGGTGGTTTTATGCATCACTTCTCTTTAGGAACTAAGCAAATTATCATCGAGGCAATCCGTTTCACACTGACGTATCCGACTAGAAATTCCGCCTTTCCACCAGCCGTCGAGAATTAAGTTCTTTAGTACCTTCCTCACACCCCCACCTAACAAACAGTTAAAATACGCTAGGTCACCTCCTTCCTAATCCCTGATTACTCACTTCCGAAATGGCGTCAAAACAAATATTAGCAATATTTCTCTAAAGAATCATAACAATTAATAAATAATTACATAACTGTGATATAATAACATTATTCGATTTGTTACTCCCTTAACAGGATAAAGTACCGATATTTGATTAAAATACAAAAAGGTTAAATAAATATGATTCATTCGGCACACAATTATTTCTTACGATCGCAGACATTAATATTAAACGTTTTCGGTCTTACTCAGTGTCTACATCTAGGATTAAAATAAATTCCAAAAAGGCAAAAGAATACTGATTTCGCAAAAACACTGTTTACGTACGGCTAATTAGCGTTTTGCTTACGTAAGAGAAACAAATACCAACAGCAGTTAGACAGATGCAATTATATCTTTGGTTCACTCGAATCGGGTAAAACAAAACTTGGCTATATATCAGCTTAAGATTCACGTCATCAGGTAATGTGTCTTCTATAATCATGTAGTTTCCTGAATAATACAAACATTGTTATACCATACAAAACCATAAAATTTCCATGTGTTCTTCGTGTTTTTAATCACTCTTCTACACATATAGTTCATATTCTTGTCCGTCCTTTTTCTACCCCTCGTCTTCTTTTCCTCCTTATTCTCCTTCAACTACTCCCCATCACCCTCTTTCATCGTCTTCGCCCGCCGACTATGGAATAAGCGTTTGGATAACTCTCAAGCAAAGCAGCGCACAACGTTGAGTCTGCGGGCTCACGACAGAAACTACGGGTAGTGTCTTGGCCAGGGAAGCCGGCCACCGAACCGAGAATCAAACCCAGAATCTCCCAAATACGAAGCGCGTGGAAACCGTCCGATGTTAACGTGATAATCAGTACGGAGCTTTTGACTACATTTGTTTTGGAGTGCACTCAGACTTCTAATTGGAGAGTTTCGCGTGTAAACAATGAAAGCGAAAAGCAGTTTGCAAGTTTAGCTAACATCTGGGAGAGGCGAAACAGGGTCCCTCTTGGCAGAGCGGGCCGTCAGTGCGGTGCTTCCATTACACGAAGAACTTACTCGCATGCATAATTCATACACCTTCAACACCCTCTGTAACAGCCCGCTACGTTAAGTACACACCAACATTCAGGATTCTGGACGTGTCGAAGTCAAAACTTCGGAAAATATTTGCTATTAAGTTTTATAAACCTTACAAAAATTCTAACCACGCCAGCAATTTAGCAGGTACTGGAATGTTATTCTTTAACGTACAAAAAAATGAGAAAATGTAGAAGAAATAAATCTTCTTTCTTATACCGAACGCAGGACACGGAATATTTCATCATGAAATCAAAGACGATATTAAAGAATAACTTGGAATAAATACAACAAAATCCATCAAAATAAATATCTAGAATTTTCAGAAAACAATGCCTGATAATTAAATTCCGAAAATACTCCATCAATATGAACCAAAGAGTGGCAGATTTAAGTAAAACTGAACAATATAAAAATTTATGAGATTGTTTTTAGCGTCTCTCTGGTTGTTAAATTATGTCAGACGGATAGACATATGGTGAGGCTAACAGTCGAAAATGTTGTAAATACTGGTTGCGAAAACAAATACAAGAAATAAATTACCTATTTTCTGATTCAGAACGTCGATGAACCAGACCGTATAACTTATACACGCATGCGTAGTTCACAATTGAGCGAAACTACATACTAAAAAGATTTGAATCAGATTTATAGCAATAATTTTACAAACCCGTATTAGGGAGGTAAACATTTCAAATCTGAGCCGGATTACCTGCTATCGTGATAGGTTTTTGTTGTTTACCTCAGTCTCTCGAGACGAATAGTAGTAGAATCTTTTTAAAACAAGCCACGATCACTTCCAAATATAATCACTTATTCACTTTTACATTCCCATTAAATTAGACCCTACCTAACATCGATAAGTTCATCAACGTGTTTAAAAACCAAAAATGGAATTAAGAATGCAACGTGCCACATTTGGCACGTGTGTAACTGGTTTCCCACTATTGGTTACGTGTTAGCACCAAAAGGGGGCTACTTGTTACCGCGGCAAGACAGTGGGGCAGAAAACAAGTTAAACAACATTTCCTGCGCTCCCCATACGAGGGCATTATTCTCTATTTATGTGAGTTCTTAACTTGTAAAAGTTGAAACACAGAAGCAAGCGCTACATAATCTCGACCGTGTTATTCAGTCCTGTAAACTATGCAACACACAGTGGAGTAATCTAGAAGGACGAAGGGTAGCAAAATTCACGACTCCTGGAGAAAATGTCATGTGCCTAAACTTACAACAAACTCCAGTGGCTGTAAAACAGGGATTGCGGGTTCTGCACTCAGAGCGCAAATGGAAAGATCCAGAAAAGTTTCCTGGAAGGCGAGATCGCAATAAGATGTGTTTTACTCACCTACAGACTAAACAAAACTCAGCTTTTCAAAGGAATACCCCCTCAGATAAAAGCAAGGGTAGAATGTGGGGACAAAACAGTTGAAGAGTTTAGCTGCTAAATAGGATTTCCAGACTCAAATAAACTTGTTATGAACAACTAAAGTTTTCAGTATTTACGTGTTACCACCAACACAGCGTTATTTGGAGAAAAAGAAGAGACATTATTTTTAAATTCTATAAAGTAATGGACATGTCTAAGCTTCCTCATGATCCAGAATCCTGAACTGTAACTAAAAACCAGCGGAAACGATTAGAAATAAGATTTATCCAACTTGTATAGATAATCAGAAGATCTAGCCGAAATCGCATTAAAACATAAGACAACTAAATAGGATATATTTTCATTACTAAAAATATTATAATTTACGAAACGAATTGACAGTGAAATGTGTAACAAAGAGTGAATCAGCTGTTTCCAAAATTATTTCATATGTTAATATCCAAAGGGAGAAAGGGAAACAGGAAGATCTATGAAAAGATGGAGAGATCAGATTTAGCGTTGTTTCAGTCGAAACAGACTAGCATGTTCAACATCTGAAGTTGATGCCGGTGACATTAAAATCCAAGAAAGAAACGTGAAACGAATCAAGACGTTGTGACTTAATTAAAGCCCGAACTGCAATGACCGTAACTTTGTACAGCAAAACACGTATTTGTCACGATGATAAAATTTACTTTAAAATTAATGAACAGAAAATATTATAAAGCTCCTCATTAAGCAGTGTTTTTCTTCCATCTATTATTTCTTCTCCTTTGTGTCCAAATATTCTCCTCAGCATATTGTTCACAACCAATCACTCCCTTATCCCAAAACCATTTACAACTGCACATATTTCGATTCTTCCATTTGCAGACAGACGACAGTCAGACAAAAGATTAAAAACGAATGGCAGCACCAAACCCTAAGCAACTAACGCCGGGTAGCAGTCCTACTCGAGAAGCTGACAGTACACTCAGCGAAGAAATTCCTCACTTTTCATGAAACTTTAAGGTTCATTACCATGTTCACAAAATCCCACCAGCTGTCCCTATCTTGAACCAGATGAATCCAACCTACACCCCACTTCCAGAAGATTCAGTTTTATTATCCTCCCATTTTTTGCCTAGATCTTATGAGTCGTCTCTTCCTACCAGGTTATGCAACTAAAATAATGTAATCTCCCCCAAACTTTCTACATTCCCCGTCCATGTCCTCCTCCTTTATCTGATCTTAATAAAAACAGGTGAAAAGTACAAATATACTGCTCCTCATTATGTGATTTTCTCCCAACTCCTGTTACGCATGTCTCTTAGGTTCCAAATACCCTCCTGAGGACACTGTTCAATCCGTGTTCTTCCCTTAACGTAGGATACAAAGTCACACAAGAGACTCACGTGTAGCAGTAGCGGTAATGCGGGTTGTCCCATTTTTCCTCGCAGACGAATCTGCCGCACTCCTCGTACCAACTGTGAGGTTGGCTCAAGTTCGATAGCAGCAAGATGGGAAGAGCTGTTCCCAGGGCGACGAGCCACACGACGCCAATGATCACCTTGGCGTGGCGTTTGCTCATCCGAGGTTTAAGTGGCCACATGATTGCCATGTATCGGTCCACACTGATGGCCACAAGAGTGTAGGCGCTCACAAACACTGACACGGCCTGAAAGAACATCCATAAAAATAATAACAATAACAACATTGATTGCATGAACACAGTCATTTTAGTCAACTTTAGGTTTACAGTCCGTCTAGACAACAATTTTTTATAATATTTCCAATGTTTATTAAAAATCCACTACATATTTCGACCTAAAATGGTCATCTTCAGATCTCTTAAAACATGCTTTAGTTCAAGCTGTCATTCAAGAGTTTCATACATAACAAACAAATCACCAGCTTTGAAAGACAGTCATTTTGGAAACATGAAATATTAATAATCTTTCAAATAAATATCTTATAAATCTTAACGATAAAGCTACATCATGTAGTCTAATTACAGAACTACAAAGCAAACTACGTGGCAAATACTTCAGACCTGTAGTTCTTAGGGCGGTGAAGAAATCGATGTTTGACTCCCAGATTGTAACGCCATGTGGACTTGTAAGAAGATACGTATCAATATTGAAACAAACGTATTGTCTTTGTTATCAGGAGTAAAGTTCCTGAAGATGGAAACAGTATGTTACTCCGAATCATTGTTATACAACCGGTAGAAGTCCACATAGTTACAAATCAAAAGACCAGTATCGATACGTGATAAACACAGTGTTATAATATTTTAAGTGTAAACGACTTAAAAGAATGTTATGCACTTCATTTGTTGGTGAGCTAGCTGGTTAGTTAAACAAGTAATCTGGTCAGTCGGGTTGTTGATTTCTTCTGTGAATAGTCACTCATCGCCGTTCTAACCCGGCAACAACTCCGACTCAGCAGTCGGACGGGATAGTACCATTACGGTTTTATAGGCGTCGTACGTGAAAGCAGACGAACATCAGCATCTATTGTTATCAGCGAGTCCTTCACTCGACAACGCGAGAGATTATGAGATTAGCTGTCATTTATCACATACTTCCCCGTTCATTACATAATCATTAATTACAATGTGACTCAACATTCATTGCTGAATGAACCAACATAAGCAATAAATAGTGCAAGGTCGTTCACGTCTTCTCAGATTTGTCCGATATCATTTCCGACAGCGTATGTAATCTAACGCGCATAACACGGTCCATTATCTTCAATCAGTGTGGAAATTCTTACTCTGTTGAGCTCGTGTGTAAATTTATGCTCATTAACGTAATGAAGACTAGCAGCCTCTCTTCACTGAACACGACGTCCCAAAGTATTCTGAGTGTCAATCAGGTATAAAGAGCCCCTTCTTAGAGATTTAAAAGTATTTAAGCAGAGAAAAGTTTGGAATGGGCGAACGTTCTTTGGAACAAAATTTTTAAATTCAGGATGGGGCAAGGATTTTACTTCCTGAGGACAGAGTTCAGGAGTAAGCTCTGTGAACGTGTTAATAAATCTTCTGTTTCCACAAAAAAAATTTGACCAGCTGAAAGACGTCAAGTTTACAGGCACGATTTACGCCGTATACTCAGATATAATTCAAACACACATATTAATTTACTGGTTTCGACTGCAGTATGTTTAACATTTCTCTCTGCAGTTTTGCATTAGCTCTGGATCAAAAAAAATAAATTTAAAACACAATATGCACTCATGCACCATGGAATGTAATGCAGTAATAATCAGATTGCAGTCTGCAGACTAAGTACAGTGTGTTTAACCCATTTAAAATTCCATGCTAACAGGAGCACGGAAATTAGTTTAAAACCAAACATCATTGAATACTAAACCCAATACAACGATATTCATTCTTTTTCAGGGACCCCTAACAATAAATTTAACAACACTGAAGTCATTTAATGAATTATTTATAACATTTTGATTTACTAAACCTATATTTTAAATTTTAATGTTTATATAATGCCACAGTGTTATAAAATGCTAATAGTAATTAACATTTAAACAAAAGGAGCAGAGTTATTCTAATTTGTGCCAATTTCTATTGTCATCAACAACCATTATTTTCACAGACAATTTTAATGTCACTTCTACCATAAACTGGTCTTTAGTACAACAGACAAACACCATAGAGCACGATCCTCCTTGAGAAGCTTATAGTAACTCATCTGGTCGCAATTTTCTACATTTAAAGAAACTTCAAGATTCACTGGGTAGTATCCACATCTCATTACTGTACCTCACAGTTTTAATATTATACCATCTACATCTAGATCTACCAAGTAGTCTGCTTCCTTATAATCAAGAATTTTTGTACCCGCCGGAACAAGATAGTTGTTCCTGCAAAACATGTTTTCGTTGAAGACAAGTGTTACCGTAGGAGGACCGCGAAACACAGGATTGTAAGAGGAAGGCAAATCCCTGAATGCATCGCACGCCCCAATAAATTACTATTAGCCTACCACCTCAACCTTACACGCGTAGTCTACTTCATCATTACATGCCAGTATCACTTCAAATTGGCAATTTTCTTGGTCGACACGAATAAGCCTCGGTTAAGAGGCTTTAATTCTCTCGCTAGAACACCCCTTGCTTTGCATGAAGCACTACTAGAGTCTAAACTTACGGTGAACAGTCCACTGAACGTCACTTTAACTAGCTTTGAACATAGCAGGACTACTTTGCTACTCCGAACTGAAACATACCACAGGTGGCAGCACAGAAAATAAGCGAGTGAGTCCTGAGTATTACCAACTCTGGCCATTTCTATTTTATGCACGAAACAAGTAGGTACAAGTGAAATTATATTTTTTGTGCGGTCTTTGCACGAAAAACACAAAAATTAACACAAAGCAGGTGGGATCTTTACATAATGCGCATTATTTTTCATTCAAGCTTATGTGAGTCTCAAGTTTTAATATTAATAATTTTGACAAAAGATAATAAATATATTCTTTAAAGAAATGTAAGTACATATCTGATCAATTTCCATTCAAAATTCCACAATGCAGCAGGTACTGTAACCCATTAAATAGTGTGGAGCATTTAACGATGCTGTTTGAAACTCAGACTATAACGTCAAAGAACATGATAATAAATAATAAATTCAGTGGATATAGAAGGAAGCGTTCGTGGCCAAATTTGTGTTTCACAGACGAAAGTTATAAAAGACACGAATCTTAAACATGCACAGACTATAAAGTGAAGCCTCGCGGCACATCATACACAGATTAGTTAGTAAAACTCAAGCCTTGACTGTTATCAGATTATCAGCTTAACTGTTTTAATATCGAGTTATTGTCTAATTTTCACAGCATAAAAAATGTTAAAATGCTTTTACGAGAAAAGCAACAAATACTGACTGCACTTTAGTATATTTATGATCACACTTCAACCCTGAAAATGGAGGCATTTTGTTCCTCCGAAATGTTAATATATACCTAGAAGTCCACACGGCGTTACAACCTAGGAGGCCCACCTCAACATTCTGAATCTTTAAACCCCAATACATCGCTGTAGGAAGAGCTGTAAAAACAGGAAACTTTTAACTTCTACTGAGCAGTCTTCCACTTCACTCATTATCCAATGTATCCTACGAAATTAAATTAAGGTAGCGTAAGCGAAATTGAGGAGAGGAAATTCGTACTGCAGTTTTAACTCACTAGGTGAAGAGGTCGACGTGTAATAGCGCTGGTTAAAATCAAATATTCCAACAGTGAATTAACTTCAGCTGACCTAATTTTAGTGCAAGGTTGGGTGCACTGTTTGATGAAAGAAATTGATGATCGTGTGAGAATATCCAGAGTAACTAGCTAGATCTTCAATTCGACAAACTTTTGCCTACAGTACGTCAAAACATACAGAACTGAAAACGTTCAGATATGAAACTACGTTGTATCTAGCCCTGTACTTCATTATAAAATGTTTTTAGTTATGTGCCAAGAGAAATAAACGACCTTCATGGAAATATTTATACTTGGATTTATAGTGTCAGAAAGGTAAGCATCACGATGAATCGACTTTTCTTTGCTCCAAAAAGACGTGTGGCGAAGTTGAGTAGGGAAAATAAAATTTTCCTTCAGCATGACAAAAATAATGTGAGTGTGATTTCCAAAATTGACTGTATACTTCTTCTGTATGATAAAAATAATAAGTGTATTTCTAAAATGGATGGTGTTATTTACTTTTATTCTGTGTGACACAAGTAACGAATATCTAGTTTACAGAAGAAAACTGTACTTAATGGCATTTCAATCTCAAACTCAGAGGAACTGAGGCAATATTTTGATAAGCTAGCGGTCGAACAGTTAAGACTTAAACCCAATTCCTTCTATTTAGACTTCACACATTCTGTTTTTCGCCTTTCTTTTGTATTCTTTCATTTTTTTTAATGTATTCTTTCGTATTTCTTCCTTTTCCTGTGTTTTTATTCCTTCGACGTTACCTCTTTATCGAATCTATTATGAAATAAAATATACAACCAAAATGCACGCGAACTCGAGCAGTGTACACAGCGCAATAACCCAGAAGACGGATATCTTCATACTCACCGCTGTGAGAACCTCAAGTCTTACAAAATGTATGCTTGTTTACGGAAGGCACCCTGTACGAATCTAGTTTAGGCTCGCGATTATTCTGGCTGAGACATTTCGTAATGTCCCTCAGTCACAGAAAAGGAGAATGCCGGACCAGTACCTTCAAGTAGAACATTACCGCCTTTTTCAGATCCTCAAATACTCACCATTCATAATCTGCTTCGCATCTCATTCGACGACACAAAAACAACAGTTCTATGAAATAACCTACTAATGAACAAATGGTGGACCTGAAAACTTCACTTATCTTATAACTCTCTCTAGTCTGCTGTTCTACCGACAAGAAAAAAACAAAACACAAAATAAACCACTGCTAATTATTTCGATTTTCCATGAAAAAAAAGTCGTTCGACTGACCTGAGAGTAACTGACGGTGTGACACATCTCGGCTCCAAAAGGCCAATACTGAAGCAGCAGAGTGGACACAGAAGAAAATGGCACGCAGAACAATGTCATGAGGATGTCACCCACAGCAAGGTTGACTATGAAGTAATTGGTGACTGTCCTCATACGTGGAGAAGATTGTACCACGTGACAAACAAGCCCATTGCCCGCCAAAGCAAGCATGAAGATGAAGCAATACATTATGTACACTGCCGCCTGATAACAAGGGGATGTGTCAACACCACCGGGACCATTCTCGCAAGATATGTTAAAGCTTGAGTTGTACCAGTAAGAGTAATTAGAGGTGAAGGTGAAGTTGGGGTCCATGATGTTTCCTTTGCACTAAATCACTTCTATGGTTGAACTAATCACTAATCAGTACGAGTGTTCAACCACTGTTCAGAAGCACTAATAGGATACAAGACGCAACAATTGAAAAGCTAAAATGTTTAATAATCAATTTTCTACGTTTCCAAAAATTCTGTTTAGAGTCGCAACATGACACAACAGTTTAGCGGCTCAAATATGTTCAACTATCAACCATTCCCCAAGGATCTGTTCACAATCACACCAGGTGTAGCTGAACACGTGACACAATAGTTCCAAGGCGATAACATACAGAAATAAACTTTCTGCATTTTCCGAAGGTGTGTTCAAAATCATATGGAATGTATCAAAACATCTGACATTACTGTTCAAACACACGATATACAAAATTCAAATGTCTGCATTTTCCATAGTCCTGCTAAAAATCACACGAAATATATTCAAACACCTGGCTAAACTGTTTAAATACGTAATCGAGAATTGTCAATCATTCTTCACGTCTGATCTATAATAAACAAGCGAAACGTAACATTTTATATAAAATCCACTAACTATGAAAACTTTCACGGCCCACTTTAAAACCCTTAATACACTTAAAGTTCACTTCCCGGAAACGCAATGAATATAACTCATCACTTACGAGCACATGCAACCCTAATCGCCTACTTTATCAATGGCTTTCTTATAGATACAAATGTACAGAATAAAAGTTAATCTGACTCCACTGAAATAGCAAGGGTAACAGTGAGAACCACGCACTTATCTTTAAAAGATAAAATCGCTTAAAAGCACTGGCTACTGTCATCGCAACAATCAGTTAATTATAATTTGTGCTGACAGGAGGGAAAACCCTGCAGATATGTTCAGTCGTCTTAATCAGAAACCGTGAATGAGGGCAATACATCGTTCTACGTTCCCTGACTTGAGAACAGCTTCTTTGATCTTCTAAGGCTGAGGAAAACCGACGTACAGCTCAGCGAATCACAAAGCAATAATGATTACAACAAAGAATTTACTGTCATTTTTCAAGTAAGGTGACAGTCACAGACACGCATTTCTACGCAATCACAGCACAGAAGCAAGACTTCAATCGTTTTAAAAACTGTATTTTTAAGGAACTAAAACACGAGTCTTCTTGAAGTCTCAAACACAGTGCTACAATGAAATATAAGTCCACAAAACTCTCGGTACACTGGACTGAATAATAAGATTATCATAGAATTATTTGTTCATAAATTACACAATAAACACTGTTCCGTGATGAATATTAATGTCCATTTCATAAACAAGTATGAACAATTTAAAATGTAAATACAATTTTATTTCAGGTTCCATAATACCCGTCAGTTCTGTAACTAGCTACAGTTCGTTCCATAGCTCTGTTTAAGTTGTATTGAGGATTAGACCACAAATTTTCCCATTCTTAACTTAGATTTCAATTAATACTTCACATTTATATTTCAGGAACTTCAGAAAATTATTTTCACACAACGCAAATCGTCAGAATATCGATCATTAAACAGAGGGTCAAGACTTTTGAAACAATGAATTACTGTTCTATTACGAGCTGAAGAATGACACTGTCTAGCATTTTCTTGTCTATAAGGAAGTCCCCGAATTGTCGGCGATTATAAACATCCCATCAGCTGCAAATGGGACTCCCAACACATTCTTGAACTGGAAATTCAGAATCTGCGACAGAGAATTAAACGTATATACATAAGGTACCCATGATGTTTCTTCCAGTGTGTTTATCGCAATGGAAGTTAAAGAAAAGTTTTTAAAGTTTTATGTAATGGAATTAGAGAAAATTGGTAGTACTAACAATATATTTACAGAAAACATCAACAGGACTCTAGACTTTTATCAAGTAACGTTTTGCAGAATATAAAGAGTTCTATGTCAGTTAATAAATTTCAGTTACAACAAATTGTTAGTCGCTATTCAGAGAACAAACGTTTGGTTCCCTGAAGCTACCACACTTCACGTATTCTCATAAAACTATTAACATTTGTTACAATTTTATGTACCTTTGAACGCAAAATAAACCGGAGTTTCTTCGCAGCATAAGTCCTGCAGCTAATAGAACATAGAGTTCGCTTAGCGCGAAGTTCGCGGCAGAATCTGAGTGATCGTGACGCAGCTTCCTGGCGTCCGGACCGACGAGCAAGACGCGACTGATGTCCGGAATTCAAACGAGCAGCAGAAAGCCACGCCGGCCGGCGTGCGCGCCGAACGGCGCTGTGCATTAAGGCGACGCGTCTGAATTCTCGAGGCCCACACAGGTCAACCTAAAGACCAATGTTCGACTCCCGGCTTGGGGAAGGGGTGGGACATTTCTCTTTGGGCCCACTGTTCGTCCTCTTGGACTGGTGTTTAAGCACAGGGACTTCATCTGACTTGGAGGCCCATTTTTTGCACCTTGTTCATATGAGTGTCACTTAAGTAACACAACGGTTGGCAACTGACAATATCCAACATTATTCTTAATAAGCCCTATTTAACCCTTTACAGCACAGTTGTTACTACACGTGCCACCTGTTTTAACATTCGATAACTCTGCGTGTTGCATGATGGGCTTTCTTACGGCTCTCAGAACAGCGACCGTTTCCCTGAACAACATAAAAGACGTTTGTCTCCGCCAGCTGTTAATTTCATTTCTGACAATTTTATCATTAGATTACTAAGAGGGGTGCTGAAATTTATTACGATCAATTTTTTTTAGAAAAATTTAAAATTTCGATTTTATCTTTGCATAAACTAGAACGATATAACACAAAATTAAATCCTCTCAGTAACTATTTACTTTACTCCAAGATACCGAATATCATCAAATTCAGATCAGTACTTTTAGAGATGAAAAAGACAAGACAGACAGACAGACAGATGGGCATTAACGGCTTGACCATCAAGCGTTTACTTACTTACTTCGACGAAAACACACAGCTAAATATGTATCTGATCTGCAACATTAAGTATCGACTTTCCAAGTCACCCCAGTGGTTCAAAGACTGCTTTATTGTAGTTCTTAATTAGTCAAAAGCGCATTAGTTCGCAGTAAGCAGAACTGGCACAGCATTGTTAGGACCTACAACAGGCCTGAGCCTGTTACAAAAACACATAGCCTGGAGATTTATTTGGCCTGCAAGAAACATCACAAGCGGCCAGGATCGATAACACTGTTTTTGTTTCCCGTCTCTAAAGCTTTTCGCGCGCAAGCAACAAGAAATTAATATTAACACAGATAAAAACGAATAACTGGTTATGTTACGTCATTCACAAGAGTACCTAATGTCTAAGACAGAAAAAAAGTTATTTTCCTATGTACCGGATACACAAGAGCATAGGCAATCGTGAAATTGCCATTTTGGGATAGTTTAATAGAAAAAGTTATTAATAATTAAGAAGCAGGTTTAAAATAATTAATGAACTCTTGTGGAAAAAAACACGATGTTTCCTTTCTCGTATTAGGAAACTCTTTGCCTACACAGACTTCAAAACGTCTTATTCTTAATCTTCGTCCAGGTCTGGTACTCGTAGCCAATTGCTTTTACCTAGTCTCATGGTTAGCCAACATCTCTCACCTATATCAGTACGAATATCTAATTTCGCTTCCCTCTAAATGTGTATGCCCAGTTAAGGGTCTTCAAAATCTGATCTGAGCTGAGTCTATCCCCCTTTTGCCTCCGACTATTGATTTATTCAACACAGGCTTCCATCTCAGTATTTGTTTCAATTTGAAGACTTTTAGTTTAATAAATCACATTAAATAGCCGCTTTATCAAATTAAGTACAGCTAACTACATGATTCTTTGCATATGGATTCCTATTTCCGAAAATAATAAGTGGTTATAATTAAAAAAATGAACTTAATTTGCAACTGCACAAAGTTTATTAAGTCAAAAGTCATAGCCTAACGTACAGGCCTAAGCTATGCTAAGTCGCCACTTAGTCGGCCATTACATTAATCACTGTAAGCCTGTAATGCACAATGGCAGATTACGTGGATTGTTCAGGACGAGTTCCAGTGAACCAGCGTGACAGCGGTAAACACTGTGAAATGTCTAATGCAAACACACAAACGCATTCATCCTGCATTAAATTACAGTACTTGGAACTGCAAAGTTAGAACAGTCTGAACAACATAGATGGGATATGTGTTTCTAAAGGCACTTGTGCTCATTTTTATATCTACAATAAGATTTTTTGACGGCTGTGCCGCTATGAATAGGATAAGCGACAACCGAAGCTGTGACAACACGTACGTGAAAGGCAGTGTCATTCCGTTTAGAAAATATGTCTCCAAACACCTTACGGCGGAAGCTAAGAAACCGACGCTGTCGAAGACGTCACATTTTGCGCTGTTGTGCCTCAGGATGTCGTTGAGGACAACAGTGGAAAACCAACGCCGAGCGTCAGGAAATCAAACACAGCAGCGTCAACTTCGGAAAGTGAATTCAACAGAAACCCCGGAAAGCTAAGCGTCACGATTCTGGCAAACCGACGCCGTGCGTCAAGACGCATATATTAGAGATGAGGATGGCTCGGGAACCATACAACGCTAGCAAAGCGACGCAGAGTGTATGGACAAAAACTATCACGACGCCAAGCGCCGAGACGTGGATAACTGTAAACATACCAAACCTAATATAACTCAACCCATCTAAAATAACCTAAACATACCTTACCCGACCTAACGTAAGCTGAGATAACCTGATCTAACCCGACCCAATCTGATTTAACCTGTCCTAACTTATCCTATCAGAACATAACCAAACCTTAGCGCGACTAGACAAACTCGCCTACCTCACGACGGTCGCCAAGGTCGCCAAGGGCTTAATACTCGTCAGGTCACGACGGTCGCCAAGATCGCCACGGTGGCTCCCCGTAGTAGCACTACGGGCACGCCGCTATTATTTGATAAGTCAGTCCGTACCGCAAAGGAAACACTTCACCTTTACGAAAATCAGTTTGTTAATTATGTTTAAAAAATAATAGCTGTTTACACCGAAAATTAAACTGAACATAAAAAGTGCAGACTTGCACATTGTCAAGTAGTTGAAACAGGTAGTACCACAAAACAAGGGTGAAACTGGTGATTTATAGTGAATATCTCGTGCTCTGCTCTTGGCTATTCTGAGTATGTAATCACGCGATTTACAGAGTGAGCTTAACTGCATCGCTCGTTACGTGATTTTAGACCGTTAGAATGAAGATTTAAGATAATTGCGTAAAATATTTAGAGAGAGTGCAACTTTATCGTACTTGCAGTCAGAAAAGAACAGAAAATAATGTGAGTCTATTTTTATAAAATGTGAGTGTTATTTATAATTTATAGGTCACTGAATGTTCTTGTTCAGACAGTTGAATAGACTGAAGTTTTCTGTTTCCAATTATAAATTTCAGATTATCTCTTGTAGATTAAAACAAAATTTCTTAAGCATATCCAGGTTTTAAGAAGTCGGAGAGACGACATAAAACTCTTTTAATATCAAGAAAAACTTACGACGAACACCTCATTAAAACAAGGCTCTGGCGACCGAGTCTCGGAAGTTCAACCACAACGCACGCCATAAAAAAACTTTATTACGTAATTCGAGGTACTGGGTCATAAAATATAAATAATAAAACCGAGAAAGTAAAAATGCTACTATCAAAACTTAGATCAAATTACATTTAATTAGATTTCTTACTAAAGAAATGAACCCCCATCTATTCATTCATCTCCACTAAACAAACGCCTTTATTTGTACACTTCAGACTTCGAGATCTTTCTCTTCTTGACTTGAAGATAACCCCTTATGGCGTCGATTTTTGTTTCTTAAATCCCAGCATGTCTGCATAGCCCTTCACGTGCATACTATCCTGCCATGTCCAGGTCTTTGCCTTTCGGGGAGCCAGTAGTCAAGAGGATGATCCTGGTGTCTTTCCACCCTTCTAAGACATTCCAGCCAGATTTATGCTTACAGTGGTAATTTATTTTCGACTGGGTCTATGCTTGGTGCCCTTAAAATATAATTTCTAATAAACGTATTA